CCAATCAGCGATTACTTGTCCGTAGCCTTATGCAAATATGCAGTGTGATATGATCCTTGACCAATCAGTGATTAGCTGCTCTGTCGGAGGTCCACTGGTGGTGTGATAATCTACCGACCAATCAGCGGCCACGCATTCAAAATCCAATGGTCATTTCCTCAACCATTACTAGTTCAAAAAAAAAAAAAAAACATGAATCGTGTTTTTACATAATCCTACACCAACAAAACCTGTGGTAAATCAATTATTGGTTAACGAACAAAGTCTTGGAATGGATTATGTTCGTTAACCGATCACTCACTATATTTTATTATGTACAGTAACTCTAGATAAACATATACAGTGAAACCTCTGTTAACGGACACTTCTACAATCCCCAGACCCTTCAATTAGAACATCTATAATATTTACTCCTAAATAGAGAACACTCTAAACAACAGATGCCATCATCCATAACTAATCTTATGAAAACACAATGTACAACCTTCAATATTCCAAAAGAATTAATTATGTACGAAATATTTTAAAACAAAAACAAAGAATTGGTTCAAAATCTCTTTCAAACAGAGAATTCTGACCATATGCATCAAATAAAGACTGGCTTAAAACAGGAATAGAGGAGGAGGGCAGATTGTAAGAAGTCAAACAATATTCTTTATCTGTTAGAGAAGTTTAATCTGGTTAAGTTGTCAATCACCATTTATCATTATATATATTAATGTTATTAAACTTCTGTCTTATTGTTGGAATTAAGCCTATGATACCAAAAAAACTAAACTTTTTCTGAAGTTATTCATTTGTTCAACAAGAACCGTAGTATAGTAGTAATGAAAAAGAAACTTAAGATCATAAATGTCATCATAAATGCGAGAAAACTGAATATCGTCTCACACTTTAAAGTGGTTGGCAAATCACCTTCATAGCACACCTTTGAATTTTCACCAAATAAATGCTGTTGTTATAACTATTTTAACAGCTTTGTGGTTGCTAATATCTAAATTTTAAGAAATCATTTACTGAAAAAAGCAGAAATGTTCTAAGTTACACCTGCTTCATAACTACCAAGCAGACAAATCCCTGTATTGATTTCTATTAGTCCTTAGATTATAAATAACATTATAAATGTAACAATTCCAAATATATTTCCCACTTATTGAAGTGGATAGCAAATCTCCTACATAATTTGACATTCAAATGAGATTCAATTAAAATGCTATTTTTACAGCTGTAAAAATAAATAATATGTTGTATATATATATTTTAGGCCAAGGTCCTTCAGGGGCTATGAGTGCCGAAGAGAGGGAGAGATATATATTTAAATTATATATGCTACTTATACTTTTTGGTATATTCACATTCCTAATGCAAATTTGATGTTTTTGTAATCCATCATATTCTTCACTATATGATGATCAGGTTAAGATACAGTATAGCCATCAGCATGTCCCTCCGAATAGTGGACACTTCTAAATAGAGGACAAACTTCTTGGTCCTGACAGCATCTGCTATTTGAAAATTATACTATATAAACGTAACAAATTCTTCCAATAAGTAAGTTCATATATAGTTAATCAGGGTTTCCTGCACTAAGGCTTCCATATCTGATCTCATCTTTCATCTATATAACACCATTCTCAAGATTAAGGAAAGACAGATGAATAGAAAGATGACAGTAGTTATTTATAGGTCTACAATTTTCGCAAACTGCAGCCCAATTATATCATTATGTCAAAAAGAAATTTTCATAGCTATGCCAACCATAGTTATGTAAAAACACTATTCCACACAAAACAGATCTTTTCAAATTGAATAATCATTGTTGAAATATGAAAACCTCAAACAATAAATATCAAATTTTACAGAAGCAACAAAAACCAATTAACATTGCATATGTTTAATTGCTACTTGTTTTCTTGATATATTCTTTAGTTATAAGCATTAATTTTGCTGGAGAGAACAAATCAGACAAGGAACACACCAGTAATTGGCTATTCCAACTTTATTATAACAGGAAATGCATTTTGAACCTTTTGCCCTTCTTCAGTCCTTTATTACAGATATTTGACTATTTCTTAGAATTATGTTAGTAACCACTGGATGAATCAACTTTGTGTTCATAAGTTTTATAAAAGTAAAAGTAAATGTGAATTTCTATAAAGATTGATTAAAAAGAAATACATACAATTGTAAGGTTATACTTAGATGGGTTATTTTGACTACATTGTGGGGCTCACTCTACCTCATAGTTAATCCCTGTGAGGACATCAAGTAGGTTATGCCTACTACACAAGTTTGGAGTGTTTTGCAGATGGCAGTAACGCAGTCTTGTTTGTGAGACTAGGGGTAAGAGGATGAAGTAGGAGATGAAGAGATTCGGTTGGAAAGAGTCACTCAATGCAGTTCTTACATTCAAACATTTATTGAACAGCACGAAAACTTGTACGAGACGTCACATACAGTAAAGCATAGTATTCATAGTTTTCTGTTATATTGCAGTAAAGTGTGTCAGATGGTCCTCAGCATAAAGGTAGGTGAATTACTCGGTTGGAGATTCCAGTGGCTGGATAAGGCACAGACAACAATCTGTATGGTTGGATAAATGGGCGATTCATTCAGCCATTCATTCAGGCGACTCTGATTCAGCCATTTCTTGGCAAATTAAAGTAACAAAATACCTGATGATGTCAAAAGATCACAAGAAAGGTGTCACTTTTGACATTGCAAAAGCATAAGTCAAAACTCTCTCAAGTCAGAAAACTGACAAACACTAGCTGCTGATGAAGTCAGCCTGGTGTTGTTTTCCTTTCCCATTCAATTCTCACAGAATAAAATTAAAATAAAATTTTAAACATTTTTAAAAAACTAAAAAGGTGTGTATATTTGTGTTGGGCATATATATGTTCAACCAGTCCTAAAGTGTATTTTCTGTTTAATTGTGCTATATACTTTTGATTATTGTATCTCCTATGTAATATTTGGACTGCTGCATCAATCTAGTATTTGTGATTGTTACCTCTATTATTCGGTTTCCAGCCAGTCCTCATGTGATCCCTTTTCCTTCTCTTCCCCCATTCCTTCCCCCGGACTATAAATATTGGTAAGGCTGTCTCTTTCATAACTGTCAACTGTATATTTGTGTAAAAATAAATGTAATTGCTTTAAAATGGTAATTAAATAAAGAAAACCTTTTATAAATGATGATTATAAAAGGTTTCCTTTATTAATGTAACACATTTATGTATTACTAGCTTACCCGTCGCACATTGCTGCGATCTCAGAAGAAAGAAAATTCAAGCAAACTCGTTATGATAAAATTCAATTTACATTTTATTATTTTTATTGAAACTTATTATTATTACTCATTTTCATTGGGAAAACTTTTCAAAGTGTCATTTCAATTCTATTTATTTATTGGGGTGCTTGTGGATACACAATATTTTTTGTTTTTCCGTCTGGTGCGTACACGAATAAATCGGAAGGTTTTACGACGTGTGAGCTGGCCACATACAGTTGTACATGTGAGAAGCACGGATTCTTTAAATTTAGCTCACATACTCGCAGAGATTGTTAGAAGTGCGATATTCCCCATTTTTATATATATTTTTTAATCCTTTATAATTTTAATTATTTAATTGCTCCTTCCTCTCTTCCTTGGCATGTTGTGAAATTTCTGATAGTTGGATAATAAACCGTTTTATTGTAATTTGTCTTTTTAAATTATTTTGAGTCGATATTAAAATTTGGAAAAGGGGGATCCCTAGATCGGTAAAATAGGCGAATTTCCTTCTACAACTTCGGTTGTTGTTCATGATACAGTTAAGGCTTTAACAAAGTTTGAGCGATTACATAATTAGCAAAAAAAAAGTTGAAATGAAGTGATTAAACAAAAATTATAACAAATATCATAAATAATAAATGCATATATAGAGATATTTTTTGGAGGGGGGAAATGGACTTCACAATTTGAAATCGATCGAACACACTGTGCTCGAATGCTCGTGTAAACGCGCGCCATCTATTGTAGGGTAATAGCCAGAAACCTTCGCAGGAGTGTATTAAAAAAAAACTTCTCAAAGCTTCATGGCAATCATACTATGCCACAAACCTTCGCTGGAGTATATTAAACAACTTCCCAAAGTTTCACGGCAATCGGATAAACGGTGTGGTAATGCATGAAGGACACACACACATTCATTTTTATATATATAGATATTTGAAATATATTTTTTCATTTAAATTTAATTTATTTAATTAGGTTTAACTTTTAGACATCAATGCATATATAGATCTAATGTAAGTGAAAAGATATTTTAATTAATAAAATTAAATTTACCTAATTATAAATGTAAAGAATTTAATAATTTCTAGGAAAAAAACACCTTTCCACTGGACTTACTATATAACACATCTGAAACAGAGCTCAGGAGGAGCCCAAAAACATTTTTTTACCCATAAGTTTTGTTGCTGGGCACCCAGAGGTTTATGAAATGTGTTAATTTCTCAGGAATAATAAAGTTAAATATGGAGTTTATGAACATTTCAATGTTGATTGAATAAATTTATTGAAAATTTTATCTTATTCAGTGTATGTAAGTTTGATGTCACTGATTTTCAATGACAAATAAACACTACAACTTCAGAAATTTTGTATCATTAATGATAACGAATCTAAACTTTATAATAATTAAGATGTTTCTAATGTAAATTATCCATTTAACCTACATAAAACAAACAAATCTGACATATCAGACTACATAAGTGTTCCAGTTAGCAATTAATCAGCCTTTAGTAATACTAGGTAATATTTGATAATTACAGTATATTCAATTAATAGTTTATAACTCAATGTTCAAAACAAAATATCACAATATCCTATATATTTTTTGACTATGTTTATAATAAAAAAACATTCAGAAATAAAAAGGTAACTGATCTAGAAAATTCAATATAAAATACAATATATACTTGTATATAAAATAATATATAAAATACAAACTTACCTAACAATCCTCACAATATCAGGCATATCTCTAAGCATTGCTTCAATAGTTGGATAACCAAGCATTTTGAATGGAACATTTTTGCCCACAAGTAATTTATATTCCTCTATGAAATACAGTAATAACAATTACACACAAGAAATTGCTTTATTATAAAGCTAAACATAAATATATCTAATTTAAATTCTTTGATATATATATATATATATAAATGTATTAGAATTTAAATTAGATATATGCTTTTATAAAGTAATTATATATATAAAGAAAAGATTACAAAATTTATTTCCAATCTTAACTGCAATGAGGATTTCTTTGATGGACAAAACTGCCAATTTTTTTAATAATAATAAATTTCTCTTTTTATACCAAATGTACCCTGTTAAAAATGGCTAAAACATAAATATAACCATCACATAATCCATTGTATTCCATGTACTGTACCTACACAGCAGCTATAGCTTCATAAGCAAAACTTCATAATTGCGATTTAAAAGTGGCACAAAACCCAAATCATTACATAAACTGCACCCCTTTCAAATTGTCTTTTAAACAGAGATAATACACAGGTTATATTAGGGTTCCTACTCAAATTTTTGTTTTAAGTTTGATGACTTTCCCTGTCTTCCTGACCCTCACATCCCTTACAATATCTCCCTGACCTGCACACTGACAAAGTAAAATAGCATCTGACTTACTATGAACATACACTATTGCTTTTTCAACTTCTTAACTAGTTATTTTTCTACTTAACAGTTATATTTTTTTGCAATTGCTGAATTTTTAAAATTAAAAATAAAATGTTTAATTATTTGCAATTGCTGAATTATTAAAATTAAAAATAAAATGTTTAATTAAAGTAGTTTATCCTGTTATTAATACACAACCATAAATCTGTGAAGTTTTTAAAAAAAAAAAAAGCCATAATTTACACTGCTGGCCATTAAAATTGCAACACCAGGAAGGAATGATTGTATGAACATCAAAATCATATGAAAGGAAGAAGAGGTTGAGATATACAAATGATTAGTATTTCAGTGCATTTAGACAACACAGGAGGGACAAATGAAATCTGAAGCACTGCATAAAAGAAAAGTTGTGCAGTGGATTTCTCATTCGGAAATCACTTTGTAAAGTCAGGGTTTCATCAGAATATTGTGTTATGCCTTGAATAAGAAGAAGAAATGCTTACCAGCAAGTGTCAGAATTCGATAGAGGCAGGATTGTTGCCTATTGAGTGTGTGGATTATTGTTCCGTGATATTGCCACTCGCACTGGTTGAAATCCAACCACTGTCATGCGAATATGGAATCAACGGGTTGCTGAGGGTCATAGTGAACAGCATGTAGGATCTCAATGCCCTCCCACGACTAACGCCCGAGAGGACAAACATATTGTGAGGTTGGCCGTGCAAAACCGTACAACCACATCACGGACCATTAGTCAGGAAATGAGCTTGTTTGCAGCATGTCCAGTATCCGCTCGTACGGTGCGACGAAGTTCGCAGCAGCATGGACTGTCAGCACAGCACCCATTACTTCAGCTTCCCTTGACAATACAGCATAGAGAGAGATGGCAATGCTGGTGTGCCCAACAACAAAGCTGGATACAAGAGTGGCACAATGTCGTCTTTTGACGAGTCCCGGTTCTGCATGCAGCATTCTGATGGCTGTATACATGTCTGGAAGATCCGAGGAGACCGCTCGTCGCCTGCTGCATTCAACATTGGCATAGGGGCCCTGCACCCAGTGTGATGATATGGGCAGCCATTGGGTACACGACATGCACATCTCTAGTTCAGATCGACGGAAATTTGAATGCAGATTGGTACATTTCTGACATCTTATGTCCAGTGGTTGTGCCCTATCTTCGAGGCCTATGAAATGCCATCTTCCAACAAGATAATGTAAGACCTCATGTTGCATGTCAAGTTCTGACCTTCCTCAATACAGAGGGTATTCATTGTTGCCCTGATCTACACAGTCTCCAGATCTCTCACCAATTGAAAACATCCGGTCATGGGTAGCTGAGAGACTGGCCCGCCACCCCTCTCTAGCTAATACGGTTGATGAAGTGTGACATAGACTTGAAGCAGCATGGAATGAGTTGCCTGTTTCTGTCATCCAAGCCCAGTTTGAATCCATGCCTAACCGGATAAGGACCATTTTAGCTGCCAGGGGTGGCAACTGTGTCTATTAATTTTGCACCCCTGTAAACCCCCAAACTGTTTGCAAATTTAATCATTTTGTTTTCATGCCATACTGTTTACATACAATAAATATCTTTTTTTATTTGCTTTCCTTCTTGGTGTTGCAATTTTAATGGCCAGCGGTGTATTATTCCTTAACAAATCATGTAGAATCCATGTAAAAAAGTAAATATTTATTAAATTTTTCTCTTAATAAATTTCCTACACTTCATAAAATATTAGTAAACTGGAAAATAAATCAGAAATTGTTTGTTACGCAATCAAAATTATTAAAATAAAAAAAAACAAATAATACCATTTATATTAAAATTATTTATAAAGTAATTATATATTTTTTTTGTACTTTATCTTTTTTATCAATTTATCAACAATTTCTCTCAAACTGTATGTGTAAATAATAATTGTGAGTAATTCAGAGAGTTAAAATATTTCAAAAATTTTAATCAATGTTAGGTTAACAGTATTACAGACTTTTGTCTCAAATTCATAATACCACATAATTAATACAGTTGTTTTAAAATTTACAAATGACAATTGATATTGCTGTATGTTACATTTGGGATTTAGTTCAATCCTTCGACCATTTTTCAATGCTTGTCTCCCCTGTTGAATTTTATAATAATTCTTCACATAAACAATCAACATTAGTTTTTAAAATGAATCAGTAATATCAGTAAAAGAAATAAATATTTATAATAATTGAATGAACATTGAGTGATTTTAAAATACAATTTCACAATGAAATAGAATAAGTCATATGTATAATAATAATAAATAAATCTAAAAATTAAAATTAGCTGATTTGATATGGTTGTGCAAATTTTAAATAACTGTTTAAGAACTTGGTCTTTAGGTATAGTAAAAAAAAAAAATAATGAATAGCACTTGTGAATTCTTTACATTGCTACTCATATTATACACATCCCACACATTAAGTCAACATTTAACTGTAATAGTTTTAATATTCTTATTATCGACAGAGTATCTATTTAAATTGTAAGAGAAAAACAATACAATTTTTAAAAATTGGAAGAACTACATGCCTTTAAGAACAAAATACCCCAATAGCATGCCTTAACCTAGTGTTTCTCAAAGTTTACCTTCAAAACGTCAAACTTCACTCTTTAATAAAAGAAAACTTTTGGCAGACTCCCTAGAGTAGATTTTAATTAAAATATATATAAAATTGTAATAAGTATTTTTTAAAATAATATCTTAGTTTTTAACATTTTAATTTAATTTAATTGATTTTATGTGTTTTTAAATTTAAACTTATGTATTTTAATAAATGCATGTGTTTATTTTAATGTAATATGTGTTTTAATAAAAAGGTAAATATTACAAGAAACTTTTTTTAAATTTGCACAATATAATATGCTAATTTTTCTTCTATAAACTCAAGATCCCTGTCAACATATTTGCAGACCCACAGAGATTTGTGAATCACACACTGTTGAGAAATCTGTTATCTAAAGTATCTCAAATATCTGGATATGAAAATTTCTATTGTTCAGTATTACACACTGTGCAAACATTTTCAGTGTTTTCAGATGATGCTTTCAATGATATCAGATTTAAAAAAAAAAATCAGTTAAATATCTCAGAATGAATAATTGATGGGAAAGGCAATGCAACACTTGTACAATCTGCCAAGAAGGGATGCCTCTCAGAAAGGCTTTCTACAGGAAACTGACTATTTAGGGGTTAGATCCATAAAAACCTGAAAAACTCTATATGGCCAGCCTGTTGGTAAGATGCAAACCTGCTATCAATTACCAATATTTTATCCACTCAGCCATTGGTGAACTAAGTACATAAGAAAGCCAGTATTAATTACCAGGACCCAAATCCAGCTTGTTTTTTTTTAAATTTGAAGTAATTTCAAAAAGTTATAATGTTTTAATGAAATTATTTAAATTGTAAATATATGTAAGTTTTCCTATTAACTTTTTAAATTATTAACTTTAGTTAAAATAATTTAAGTTAAATAGTGTAAATAAGTGTTTTTGAAGTTAGACAAAACAGCCATGGTGAGAAAATAATTTCAATAATATGAAAATTTTCTTGCCAAATCTGAAAGTTTCTTTCTAAAGTATTGTTTTTTGGTGTTCATTACTTGAAGTTCATCCTTAACTGAAATTTTTGAGCCTTATAAAAATTCATTCTGAAATCATTGTCATAAATACATTTTTTGTTTTTGGATGTCAAAAGGTCCATTAATTTCTGTCTATGCTAAAAATAAAAATAATCATTCATGGCACCTACATCTATTTTATTTCTATTAATCAACACGTTATTATAATTATATAAGCTATCCTATGATAATGAAAACATGTGCTTAATTAAAGCATTCTTTTATTCTAAAATCTTTTTATGTTAACTTATCAGTTTAGTGTTACATGGATAATTATATGATAGAACTATTTAATTATATGTGTGATTTAATTTGAATTTTCCAAACTAGGTGATAATTATTAACAAGTTCATAAATTATGGTTTTTATTTTGTGCACAATGATTTCTGGGGAAATTCTGAGTATGTTTGGGAGAAATTTTGGGTCCTGAAGATATTCTGCACCCCATTTTGTAAGTTGCATCACACCACATTACTTCTTGTCATCTAGAGACAGCTACACTTGGTTAATTAAGCATATTGTGAGAAAAAAATCAATAAAGCAGTCAAGAAAACAAATTCCATGACTCTCTATGACTTTTTTGAACACTAATGAAAATACCTGACTTTCCAAGTTGGTAGGACCCTGTTATATGCATGAAAATATACTTGTTTATAATATTTAATAAGTTTGCAAAAAATTGATATTTCTAAGCAGAAGATAAGAATTAATAGTAGATAAAG